GTCTTAAAATCCTTCAGATGTACCAGAAACTATAAAACTAGAAAAGAAAACAGGGGAAAAGCTCCTAGACATTGACTATGGCAATGATTTTTTGGATATCACACCAAAAGCTCAGGCCACAAAAGAAAAAATAAATAAATAGGACTATCAAACTAAAAAAGCTTCTGCTCAGCAAAGGAAACAATCAGCAAAATAAAATGTCAGCTTACAGACTGCGAAAAAATATTCGCCAACCATATATCTGAGAAGGCGTTAATATCCAAAATTTATAAAGAACTCATACATCTCAACAGTGGAAAAACAAATAACCCAATTAAAAAATGGGCAAAAGACCTGAATAGACATTTCTCCAAAGAAGACATAAAAATATCCAACAGGTGTATGAAAAGGTGCTCAGCATCATTAATCAGGGAAATGCAAATCTAAACCACGATGGAGTATCACTTCATACCCTTTAGCATAGCTATTGTCAAAAAGTCAAAAGAAAACAGATGTTGGCAAGGACATGAAGGAAACGGAACTCTTGCACACTGCTGGTCGGAAGAGGGGTAAAGAGAGGAAATGGGGAGGCCTGGGGCAGAGGATACAAAGCAGCAAATATGCAGGATGAACAAGTCTAGAGAGCTAAGGTGCAACATGAGGACTACAGGTAATAAAACTGCTTTGTATCTGGGATTCATACTAAATGAGTAGATCTTAGCGGCTCTTGCCACAAAAACAAAAACATGGGTAATTACGTGAGATTATTGATATGTGAATTTGCCTCACTATAGAAACCCATATACTACCTTTATATATCCCATAATAGCATGTTGTATACCTTAAATATCCATAATAAAATTTATTTTAAAATAAAGCTACCTTTTTAGCCTCATTACTCTCAGTGTCATTCATGCCCCCTCTTCTCCAGTCACACTTTACTCCCTGACATTCCCTGAATGCAGTATCTCTTAAGTCCTTGCTCAGGCAGTCCTCCACCTCAGCCCGGAAAATCCCCACTTAATCTTTCAAGAACCACATAAATATCATCTTAACCTGAAAAGTCTTCCCTGATAGTAATGGGCAGAATTAATCTCTCTTCTTTCTTCTCTTGCACCGAGATATCGTTATATATTCTCACTGTAACACTCATTGCATGGTTCTGGAGGGTCCATTTCCAGCAAGTTCCACTGATGTGGTATCAGCAATTTCTCTGCCAGCCAGTGAGTAGCTATGGCCATGCCTTCTCAGACAAGTTCAAGATCTCAACCTGGCTGCAGGGCCCTACATTTCAGGTTATTTATTCTCCTGTGTAATCCTCCACTTGAGGGTGAGCTGGACTTACTGTCTCACTTCTAATGAACAGAATATGGCAGGAGTGATGGTACATCACTTGTGAGATTACATTGTGCAATAACTGTTGCTCCTGGCACACTTTTTCTCTTTGATCAGCCACTGTGGGGAAGCCAGCCACCATGTCATGATGCAGCCCTATGGAGGCGCCTGCGTGGTGAGAAACTGAAGCCTCCAGCCAACAGCTACTGAGGCAATAGCCACCACGTGAACGGACTTGCAGATTTTCCTGCCCCAGTTGAGCCTTAAAATGATGTCAGCCCTGGCTGAGAGCTTGAGAACAGTTTCAGGAGAGACAGTGAGCCAGAACCGCACCTGGATTCCTGACCCTCAGACGCTGTGTGAGATAAGAAGTGCTTATAAAGTTGCTAAATTGGGGTAATTTATCACATAGCAACAGAAAACTAGTAAGTGCCCTCTCAGCCCTAGAGGTTTGGCTGCTCCTTACTGTGCTGTTCCTGTAATCTTCACAGTTCTCTTTACTTCTCATGATATATGCTGTTAGTGAGTAAAGATTACATAATCTACCAACCCAGTAACAGTTTATTACTAAGAATTCTTTAAATCATTTACCTGATCTCATTTTAGGTTAGCTGCATATATGTGTGAGATATATGTGTAATCTCATGACATCAGTCTCCTTAATATTAATAACAGCTCTTTATATTAAACGTCCCCTATCAAACTGTGTGGTTTCCATCTGACTGACAGATAAAGCTGATGCTACTGGTCAGAGATCACTCTTTGAGAATCTCTGGCTGACAGTAATCATGATGTGGCTCCTCAAGCTGGGACCAATCCCCCTGAAGTCCACCGCCATGACGAAGTCAGGTAAAAGGGAGGAAACGGCTGTTAGAAAAGTAAGAATGTCTGTTTTCCATAATTTAAAAAACTGCTACTCTATTGGTTTGCTGCCTTTCATACATTTGGACAAATATTGTAAAAAATGTTACAAGTGCCTATTTATGGAAATATGATTCAGAGAAGCAGATCTGAGTGGTTTTAGAACTGGAGGTGAATTTTATTGATTGATTACACCAAATATATACACAGCTAACCTAAAATAAGATCAGGTAAATGAATTCTTAGTAATAAACTGTTATAGTGTCGGTATATTTATGTAATCTTTACCCACCAAAGTATATGTCATCAGAAGAAAACCATTCAACATGTAACTCAGAAATTAACAAGTTACCCTCTGCATTAGTTTCCTAGGGGTGTCACAAACTGGGTGGCTTAAAACCACAGAAATTTATTGTCTCACAGTTCTGGAGGCTCCAAGTCCAAAATGAAAGTGTCAGCAGGGCCAAGCTCCCTGAAACCTAGGTAGGGGAGAATCCCTCCTTGCCTCGCCTAGCTTTTGGTGCTGGAAGGCAACCAAGTCTCTGACTCCATCAACGCATGGATATCTTCTTTCTCCAGGTGTGTCTCTGTCGCTCTTCTTTTCTTATAAAGGACACCAGTCATACTGGATTAAGGGCCAGTATGGCCTCACCTTAACTAATTACATCTGCCACAACCTTATTTCCAAATAAGGTCACATTCAGAGGTTCCAGTGGGTTAAGACTTCAACATATCTTTTTTGGGGGGAGGAAAGGGGCGACACAATTCAACTCATAACACTGTCATTTTCATGCAATTTCACATCTATCAAAATAAATGAATAGTTTCTTATCTTTATCTTAATTGCATTTTCAACATATTTTAAGAAATAAAACATTTTTTAACAATTATAATTTTAATTGTAGAGGTATCACAAGCCCTATTAGTTATTTGTGGTTTAATTTTCTTTTAAACATTAAGTCAGTTTGGTATCTAGTTGAGGTCAAAATCACACTTATCCAGATATAAAGGGTAAAAAGAAAAACATGCAATTTCAGAAGTTTGCATTGAACCAGCATTAATCTCCTTCTGTGAGGTTGAAAATGAAACTCACCTGCTCCCCACATCGCTTTGTTGTTCTCATGAAGAATGCTACCAAGATCAAACACCTGTCAAGAGTTCATGTCACTCATTTTTCACTAAACATTGCAGTAACCTACTTACTCCAAAGAGTACTGAGATAGCAACCTGTAATAAGTATTAATGATGGACTTTTTAATGCTTGTCAGGGATTTTTGTCATAAAAAAACTGAACACTAAGTCACAAATATAACAGGTTTATGTATGTGAAAATAGAAGAAATCTAGAGAAAAGCCAGTATTGATATATGAATTCTAAACCATATGACTGAAATTGTTCATGGTAAGAAAGAGGCTAACATTTATTGAGGCTAACATTTATTTTATTGAGGCCTTAAGCTACCAAATCAAGCAGTTTGCTAGGCAATTTATATACTTCGCCTAATTCAATCACTAACATCCCTGTGAGTTAAGGATTGTTATCCACAGTTGCTGATCCCATACAAGAAAAGTGATGTTTACAGAAGTCGTTTGCCTTCAGACCAATGGCCCTTTCAAAATTACCTTCTTAGTTTTGGCCAACTTATCCCTTCACAAATACGAAATACACGGAGAGCAAGGGAAAGGAGGTGAAGTGGACCTTGGAACATTAGTGGAAAAACACAGCCTGGTAAATATACGGTTTTACCAAGCTTGAAAACAGCTGTGCTGACGCTCACATCTTTTATTTCCACTTTTTTCCCCCCAGTTTAAAGTTTGTTCAGATACCCCAAGGGTGGCAGAATCCACCCCAAAATATGCCACTTTGGCATCAGGATTATTTTGAGCTAAAAGCGTTTGAAAAACACCAGAAGGGTGCTCTAAACCTATTTTCTTCCTAAAAGGAGATAAAACTTCCATGTAAAAGATGGCCTCCCTATACCAGGAGGAAAGAAACACTTATCACCGGAGACGGGTAGTCAAAGCCAAGGGATTTCTGCCCAAACTGACCTTGTTAAAATAATTCTAATCTTCTGTTAGCCTCCCCAGATATTTTAATTACTTTTCCACAATTGCCACTCTTGGTTCGGTCTAGGATAAAAGCATGTAGTTTTGCCACTTCTTTGTGTCATTTCCTCACGAAGTCTCCCACGTCACAAAACGTATTAAATAAATGTGTGTGCTTTTCTCCTGTTACTTTGTTTTATATCAGTGTAACTCTCCGGCGCAGCTCAGGACCCTAAGGGTAAAGTTTCGCCGCCGTTACACGCGTTTCCAGTTCCTAGGCACACACGCAATAACCGCTCCGACCCTCCTGCTAATGGACGATGCTTTTCTGCTGTTGTTCCTATCCGTACAGTCCAAGGGCGGGGCCCGGGGGTGGCCTGAGGAGGTATCCTGTGTGGAGAAGGGACGTCGGCGCGAGCTCCGCAGCTCTGGGGTGGGCTGTGCCCGCGGCCCCCGCCGGCAGAAACCTGCACAGTAACCGCCCCGGGCGCGGCGCTCACTTGCCAGCGCCGGGAGGTAAACTGCTCCATCAGAGTATGTCACGGACAGGAGGGCCCGGAGGCGCCTGTCCGCGGGAATGCAGCTCCCACGACGAAAGCCCGCGGCCCCGCAAGCCCACCCGCGGGGAAGGGCCGCCCGGCGCCCGCGACAGGCTGCGGGCCCGCGGGTCCCCCCCCGCCGCGGCCCGAACGAGGCTGCGCGCGCCCGTGACGTCAGGCCGCCGGGCGGGTGGACGCTACCACTGCCGGCGCCCCCCGCCCGGCCCGGCCGCCGCCTCACCTTTCCGTCGCTGTGAAAGGGGAGGCCGAGCTCGTCCGTGGTGGGCGGGGGACGAGCACAGCCCGTCTCCTCGGTCGCTCCGGCGGCAAGCACCGCGGAGGCGGCGGCCTCGTAGTCTGGGAAGGGGTTGGCGAACGCCCGCTCCTCCATCTCTGCCTCTCCTCCGAGGTGCAGCTTCAGTCTCTTCGACATGGTCTCGCCCATCTCCGCCGCGCGGGTCTCCAGCGCGGGGCCGCGGGACGGCGCGCGCGCAGGGACAAACCTCCTGCCGCGGCGCTGCGGCTCCAGCAACGCGCCGGGAGCCTGGGCTTGCGCCGGCCGCCGCTGCGGGCCGGCCCTACGAAGGCCGGGGCCGCGGGTGGGGAGGGCGAGCGGAGCCTCGGCGCGGGCGGCAGCGTCTCGGCGAGGCCTGTCAGGCGGCGGGCGGCTCGCACATCGGGCTGCAGCCGGGCGCTTTACGTAGTGCCCGGGCGGGCTCGGGGGCGCCGCCCGCGCCTTCCCCTCGCTCGGCCGGGGGGCAGGGACCGCGGTGGCGCGCACGGCGGGCCGGGCCCGGGTGTCGCCGCGCCCGCTCCCCTCTGCGGACCAGCACGCGGAGACTTCGCGGGCGGCGGCGGGGCGCGTTCCGCCGTCTCGGTCACTCGGCCTGTGCGGGCCGCGGCGGCCAGCGGGTCCCGGCGCTCTGCTCCATCCGCGTCCGCGTCTGTGCCGCCGAGTCTCGGCCCGGCGCGGCGGCCCAAAGGAATAGCAGCAGCTCTTTGTTTGGTATTAAGGAAAAAACACCGCTAGGATAGTCTCCGGGGGACGAGGGGGAGGGAGACAGTCCCTCCTATTCATCGCTGTCGGGAGGGGGTGTCTTGGAGGAGGAGCCACAGGCCGTTTTTTTGTTGTGGTTTTTTTTTTGGTAATGTTTTATTTTCAGTCCCTTTGTTTTGAATAAATGTACATCTCTGGTAACAGATACTATGAAAGCACATGTAATCATCCAGATTTTTATTGACCAGAGGGCTTCCTCAAACATTAATGTAATTGGCCAGGAGCATAATGTGTACCATAAAGGTACACCAGCAAATAGGTACAAGCAAATAGGTCTTCGCGTTTATATAATCGTGATATTTGCTTCACAGTCTTTATTGGTTCTCTTTATTTTTGTTATTTATGTAGAACCAAATAGATGTAATGATTTCTCCTCCTTGAGGAAAATGTCTTATTTCAATTTTCTTCCATCTGACAAACATTGAGCACCAGATGGTACTAGGTGATGAGGAAGGAAGGTTAAAAAGATAGTTTCTGCCCTTATGGGGATTCTGAGGTAGTGGGTAAAAAAGACAAGGTTTAGGGTATAGCTGATGGGGACACTTCTGGAACCAAGGGAGATACCCATTAATACAATGTAAAAGGTGGCAGTAAAGTTCAATCACCCCTTCCTCTGTGGCCTCAGAGTGGGGTGATGTGGAGAAGGTCTGGCTCCCCACTGCCACCCTGTTCTAGTGTCTTCCCCTGTGCCAGGAGGCTGGACATGTGAAACACACCCTACCAAGACCATGACGGTGGGAAATTACAGTGGAGGAGGAAATAATTTTAAAGGGGGCACTCAGCATAACCGCCCTCAATGTCCAAGGAAACAGAAGTGATAGAACAGGTTACTGTACAGTAGCATCCGTTGGGGATGCCACTTTCGTGCTGCTTTTCCTTGACCGGGAGTCCATCTTTCTCCCATCCTCAGTGAAGGACATGTCCTCAGTGCTTCCAAATTTTCATACCTACACTGGGAAGGAAATCTAGTCTATAAACCACTGATGCCAGCGTGCCTTAGGAGCCATCCCTCTGCCACTTTAGGAACTTGACAAAATAACCCACAGCAGATGTTGCCCAAAGCCTGCAAGATTATTGAGACTGCAGCAGCATAGGCAGATGCAGCAGAAATGTCCACACTGGCTTTGTTCAGCTATACCTGGTGAACTCAGACCTCTCCTTGGCATAAGGTGACAGTAGTCTCATTCTTTGTGCAGTCTGTGGGTGGATAACTGTGGACAACTCTTGGCAAGTGTACAAGTTTGTCCTAAGGAAAACCAAAATTTTCAAAAGCTACATCTAAACCCATTTTAAGGAATTGGCATATTTTCCTAAATGCTGTCCAATCTGCAGTTTCCTTGCCCTCAGTGACGATTTCACTTACACTGTTTGACGGAGAAGTGGCAGTTTCCCTTTCTTCCTCCTCTTGTCTCCTGGAGGCTTTAATGCAGATGGCATGGGGATCCATTCTGCAGCCCTTTCAAGCCCAAGGCCATCTTTCTCTGGTGACCACTCTTGAAGAGTTCAAAGACTTGGTCCGTGCCTTGAAATTACAACTTTTTGTTTACTTTAGGACAAACCAAGTTCTTAGACTGGGCACCCTTCCTCACTCTTCTGTGTAAGGGAGGGGGTAAGACAAGGTGTAATATATCCCCATTCAAAAAGCAAACCCACAGGAGTGGTGAAGACAGTTGGCAGCTGCCTCTCCTTTCGCTCAAAGGAAAATAGCCAAAGGACACGAACTGGGGCGAGGGAAGCATCCATGCTCCACTGAGGCCGGCAGGCTCTGCGAGGGCGCAGGGAGTAACACTTCCTCCTGAGGGAGAAGGGTTTTCCTGGGACTGAGTCGGGGAGTGCACCCTGGCAGGGGAGGCAGGGGTACGTGTGAACGCCTGAGTTGTTTTGGTTTTGATTTACTAACTAAAGCATTTTGGACTTCAGCTGACTTTGGGATCTGTTAGCATTCCCGGGAAGAAATGATGATGCAATTGGAGAGCCTCTTTTGCTGCTCTAGTCCCTGTGGCGCCTCTCAGCGCCCATCCTCTCTGAGCAGAGGGCCACAGCTCTCATGGGACTTCTGAGTGGGGCTGCTTAAGTGTCTCTTACCAGAGCAGAGTGTGGTTATCCATGAAAATCTGAGTCAAGTAAGCGATTTCGTACTCTTCCGTTCTCTCTTTCTACGTGGGATCAAAATCTATCATGGCTGCCCAAGTATCTACCTTGATTTCTAGATCTCTGTAGGAATCAGTGGAAGGATTTAACTCATTCTAAACTAATAGATAGGAAGGCAAGAATGAACCCAGAAGTCAGATCACAGGAAAGGTGTCAAAGGAGAAAGAGGTCATCTCTGCAAATACATCACATGTGGCCAGGCCTAGTTCCAGGGACCACGCGCACACGGGCAGAGTGCAGCACGTCAGATCAGCACCTAAGGGGGAATGAGCAGCTGAGCTCAGAACAGTCTCTGACATGCGTTCACCAGACCTCGTGTGGGAGCGGCCATCTGCACGCTGGCCTGTCTGGGCGTGTCTGTGCAGCTGCACTCCCTCCCGCCCTTCCGGGGGAAAGGCAGCACTGGAGCAGCACACTCCCAGCACAGGTTCGCCCGAGTGCCTTTAGGCATACGAGACAGAAAAAGAAAATCTGAGGCCCAGAGAGCTCTGACTGCTGGGGTTCAGCCACCTCTGAGAAGGTCTGGAGACTTGCAGACAACCCCAGCGTGGGCCTACTTGCAAGGAGTTTGTCTTCTCCTTGCTCTCGGAGAGTCAGGTACGCTCCTCTGGCCCAGGAACAAAGCCTCAGTCGCTTGCAGGGGTAGCATGATTCAGGGAACAATGTGGGGCTGGGTTAGAACAATGTGGAGTCTGTATTGTGTATTTCAAAACTCCATGTTTTCCTACTGCCTCAGCATCCCCACAAACAGGCTGTGAGCCCCTGCCCAGGTGACCAGGTGCACCCGCCCCCCGGACTGTGACTTAGTGACAAACTAGTCAGACTCCTGAATCTTCTCCTAGGCCCATCCATGCACTTCCTTGTAAAACATAGTTTTAGCAAAGAGCCCTGTTAAGTTAATTTAGCAAGAATACCCCCCCAATACCTGATCACCCCTGATATTTGATTGAGCTCCCCGTGCTCCACAAGTCCCCAGGTGGTATCTGGTCACCCTGGCCTGTCTTCAGCAAGAATCCTGTATGTCAATTTGGCCAGAATCCCCCTTACCCTGATGGTACCTCCCAGTAATTTTCCATCTGCTGACCCCCACTTTGCTTCTTGGCTATAAATTCCCACTTGCTGTGTTTGGAGTTAAGCCTAATCTCCCTCCCCCACTGTAAAATCCCATTGCCATGGTCCCTGTACCTATCATGATGGTCCTGAATAGAGTTTGTTTTTTGTGTGTTGTGTGTGGTTTGAATATTTGTCCCCTCCACAACTCATGTTGAAACTTAACCCCCAATGTGGCAATATTGAGAGGTGGGGCCTTTAGGAGGTGATTAAGTTAGGAGGACTCTGCCCCCATGAATGGCTTAATCCATCCATGGATTGATGGGCAAACAGATGGATGTGTTACCATGGCAGCGGGACTGGTGGCTTTGTAAAAAGTCTTCCTGAGACCTGAGCTAGGACGCTCAGCCCCCAGCCGTGCGATACCCTGTACCAACTTGGGACTCGGCAGAGAGCCCCCACCAGCAAAAAGGCCCTCACCACTTGTGGCCCCTCAACCTTGGACTTTTCAGCCTCCGTAACTATGAGAAATAAATTCCTTTTCTTTATAAATTACCCAATTTTGGGTATTCTGTATAAGCAACAGAAAATGGATTAAAACACTGTACTTTAACAGGTGTCATTGAATTTTTCTTTAGCACTAGTGACATTGAAACATACCAGTAAAGTGCCCTCAGCCTTTTTCTTGTGTCTTGCACCCTGACCCCCCAATAAAAGTGCTGCCTGCAGGTCCCTGCACTCTCTGCTCCCCACCTGCTTGGTTGAGCCCTTGACACCCCTTGTGTGGCCCCTTGTGACATGCAATGACTGTTTCTCCAGGACCTGTGAGTGCCGCAAACTTTTTCTGTGCCTCTTCTGTGTCCCTTCTTGTGGCCATGCCTGGCTGACCACAAAATAATACAAAACAGGGTTTTTGTCCCCAGCGTAATTTGTGGAAGGGTGGCAGGAAGAGAAAGTCATCACATTGAACAAAAGAAGTGCTTCCCCATCTTACTGCAGAACGCCAGGCTGTGGGGACTCCTAGGGGTCTGGTGCCTCAGCCACCGTGCCTGTCAGGGTGGGGAGACGCCGTGGTGCCGGCAGAGCAGCAGCACACCCGGGGAGTAGACTCATTCATGAGCACACACCACGAAAACTCCCATTACCATTTGGGAGGAGAGTGCTTTGCAGGCCATGAGCCAGTGGCACATGTGTAACCATGCTGCTGTTCACGTGGTCTTGGTCACAGGTTGGTGGGATCTGCCTCGCCCGGTGCAGAGAGC